TGTGAGAAAGCTTTTGAAAGGCTGGCAGATAAAAAAATTCATCTTCACCCCCAAGGAAATGCTTCCCCAAAACAGTTGTACCTCAAAATAATACTCTATTATAAAGACAATTTATAGGCTAGGTGGCATGGTGTGAGAAAGCTTCTGAAAGGCTGGCAGATAAAAAAATATGCTAAAAAGTTCATTTTCACAGCCAAGGAAGTGATTCCCCAAAATCAGTTGTACCTCAAAAAAATACTCTATTATACATACAATTTATAGGCTAGGTGGCATGGTGTGAGAAAGCTTCTGAAGGGGTGGCAGATAAAAAATATGCTAAAAAATTCATTTTCACCCCCAAGGAAATGATTCCCCAACATCAGTTGTACCTCAAAAAATACTCGATTATCGAGACAATTTATACGCCAGATTGCATGGTGTGAGACAGCTTCTGAAAGGCTGGCAGATAAAAGACTATGTTTATAAAATTCAATTTACAAACATAAATTGTCTCTATAATAGAGTATTTTTTGAGGTACAAGTGATTTTGGGGAACCATTTCCTTGGGGGTGAAACTGAATTTATAAACATATTTTTTTATCTGCCACCCCTTCAGAAGCTTTCTCACTCCATGCCACCTAGCCTATACATTGTTTCGATAATAGAGTATTATTCTGAGGTACAACTGATTTTGGGGAATCATTTTTTTGGGGTGAAAATGAAGTTATACTTATATTTTTTTATTTACCCCTCATTAATAAATTACTTTCAATACCATATATACAATAATCCGTAAGTGAAAATTCGAAGAAAGGTTTTGGGTTAAGTCTTGTTCCTGCGAATTATTTAATTGGGGTGAAAATGATTCTTCCTATAGGGGTGCTTATTCTCGTGCATATATATTTATTGTTGGGAGCTGTTAGCTGTATCCTTCACAATCACAGTCTGGTCGAGGATGTCGACGCCACTGGTCATTCGGGTATCTTCGGCAAATTGTCTGCTAAGTTTTGTCTGCCAACTTCACACCGGTCGTGGTTTCTATGTGATAAAATATTATTTTGAGGTCCATCAAATTTCGTTTTACCATACTTGTCACATACATTAAGGGTCGCAATTAATCCCACGTGTAAGATTTATATCTGTTCGAACTGCCTATGAGGGGAGGGGGTATACTAAAAGTTTTATGAAATCAAAGTGGTGGATTTTAATTGAAAATTTGTACTCTGAAGTTCCTATTCTACGAGTTACAACCTGAAAAGGTTGATAGATTTTGACATACGAGGTGTCTCTAATTTGTCTTAACAGTGTATGTAATACTGGGTGCACTAAAATTTTATAAAATAAAAAGGTGGATTTTAAACGCAAGATTCAACTTTGAGATTTCTATTTCACGGGCTACAGCTAAAACAGCTTGATGGATTTTGACATTCGAGGCGACCTTATATTCATTTTGATTCTCCAGTCCGTCCAGTTACTACACGTGGATTGTTGGTATTTTCAAAAATGTACGTGGCTCTTTCTTTTTGGGCCCAATGTTCTGGAGGGAAGGGGTTCTGGTATCACTCCTAACATAATGTTAAACTAAGTCTCTAGAAAGAGAATGGGACCAATATGAGGCCATTTGGTTGACCCTAGGCTCATGGACAGCTCGTCAAAGAGGAATTAAAAAAAAAGATAATAGAAACATTTTGTATATTGTAGAAACGGTTGAGAATTTTCGAATGATTTTTTATGTTAAGCACCACAAATGCTTACCTTTTGGTACTTATTTCAGATCTACCATTATCCATTTTCTGGTAACGTAAAGTTGCAGCAAATTTGCCGTGTAAGGTTTCATTTTCAGGGTATTTTCATCCCCTACAATGGTCCGTTTGGACCAGTTATATTAATAACTAATTAAATATTTGAAAAAAGTTATTTTCCAACGTTGATGTACATTGAAAAAGTTCGCCTGTCACATTTTTTGTATCTCCCGATGAGGTGCCTTTTTACATACATTCAAGGATGTAAAACAGCTTATCACAATTTCTCAAATCAGATTTGATGTTTGCCTAGTTAGCTTTATCTATCAGACTAACCATTGTGCATCGCTGCGTGAATACCTATTCATGTTTTAACTTTTGGTATAGAAGAAACTTGTTAGTTCATTTTTGGTAGTCGAAAAATACTGAAAAAGCAGTTTCAATTTAATAATAATCCAAGATATAGTTCAGAAAAATGTACATTTGTGGCCCACAAGTTGACTATCGACAATCTTCTCAATATGTGAATCTCCCTTATGTAATATGTAATTTTTGGGTACATGGATTAAATGTTAGAAATGCGAAATATTCCGTTTATATAATACGTTTTGTGATATCTCACCTTTGTACACCATTTTTGGGATGAGCGCATCTGCAAAAGCAAGTATGTTTAGCAAACAATACCTTGAGAGAAAGGAAAAATGGGCGCCGGTGGGATTCGAACACTCAACTCCCCCATTCTGTGGAGCCGACCTAATCATTTAGTCTGCAGCACTACCTGTATCGAGTGTTTGAGGTAAATTCAGTCCTGCACACGCCAAAGTTCCTTTGTTCTTTCAAGGTAATTGATGCCCCATCTGGGGGCTTTCAAGTGAAACAAACCGTATTGGTAAGGTATCTTCAATCACTTTCTAGTTGCACCACGCTGCCTCGTGGTCAGTCACCGCGGTACCACTGTGCGAGGACCTGTTTACGACTTTTAGGATGAGTGCATCCACAGCAGCGATTATGTTTAGTGAACAATAACTTGTGAGAAAGGAAAAATGAGCGTTGATGGGATGCAAACCTGCATCTCCCCGTTCCGTGGAGCCGACCTATTCAATTAGTCTACAGCACCAGCAGTTAACCAACTTTTAGTATCGACTGTTAAAGGTGAATTAAATCCTATCCACACCACGGTTCCTTTGTTCTTTCAAGCTGCTTGATATCCCATATGGCGACGTTTAGTAATGAGGTTGCTGTCCTCGCACGATGGTACTGTCATAGGTGCCCACGAGGCGTCGTGGCGTAACTAGAAGGCGGATGGAGAGACCTTACCAATCTGGTTCCAAAGACGACATTTGATAATATTTTGTAGAAGATAAATAAAGTACATGTAAACTTTATTTTAAATCCAATCGAAAAGTTCAATTTGTTCTATTACTGTAAATACAAATCAATTATTTATCTACAATTTTCTAAATATATATACAAGTATGTGCCACTATAATAATCTTCCCATTCTAAGAAAGCCATTTGATTAATTAATATAAGGTTTGTGTAGGTCGTGGATCAGAGCAGTACATTCAAACCAAACATAAAACAGTTTGTATAATATACCATCAAGTATACATAGCATACAGGGCGCTGTAATAGTGAATACCTTACATTTTCCTTCTGGCGTTTTACTTTATTATTCGCCGTTGATCTAGTATAGTCCATTATACATATATTATATGATTTTTGAGTAGTGTTTGGATATTGTTCAAATATTTCAAACAAAAAACTATCCATATAACTTCGACTAAAAGATTCCAGTATTTTAGGACTTAATTATTCCAAAAGGGTTAACATTTATTTCGTTACTGTTTTGCAAGTATGCCAGACTCCACATTAAGCGCTCATTTATTCCCGCGATTTGTGTCGCCCGACAATACCAGAAACAGAGAAGTGTTGGAGGTGCCAGCACATAGGTTGTCTAGAACGAAGGAGAGTCCCAAATACATGGCAATAAAACTCTTTAACAGACTACCCATTGACTTCAAATCACTACCGCTTATATTATTTAAAAAAGAATCACGCAAATTTTACTTGATAAAGATTTCTACTCTATAGAAGAGCTTATCCTATATCACTTTGTGATCCACAGGATGGATAAATTATTATTAATATTATTATTATTATTATTATTATTATTATTATTAATATCTGTCGAACATTATTCGTGAAAGTTATAGAAAATCTAAAAATATTGAGAATCGTATCATAAGATTAGGGTTTCCAATATTTCTTGAGTATAAGTCAAAAACATCTACAATCGCACCATGCTATTCAAAGCTGTGATCAAATCGACACAACTGCATTGCAAGTAAAGACAACAACCTCTTGGCGCGATTTTTTCATCTACTCACAATGTAGACTTGTAGATGACATACCAAAGGTGCGGAACATATTTGCAGTATAAAAAAATACGGTTGAAAAGGCACTATGAAGGCACTGTGAAGGCACTATAGTTTTGTAACAGTATGATGTAGTGTCATAACAGGTGATATCACCTTATTTAGGAAAATTGGCTAAGAAGCGACAACGTTATGAGATGAAAAAGTAGCAATATCCAGATAAACTTCGCTTATTGGCATTTTATCAACTTCTCGATATTCCTGAGAGTAGGCAAAAATTCCTGTCATTTCAAACTTTTTAACATCCTGATCATCTCAGGTCGTAATCATAAATTTCTATGAATCCAACATTTTTAAATTCAGCCATTGGTCAACATATTATACCTGAAGAGAACAACGTAATGCTATATTCCGCATCCAAAAAAATAGTTCGAGATGAAATGAGATACCGTCATCTATTATAATTTGTCACAGCTGCTTCTGTATTTTTACTATATTTTATATACTTTGTGAGTGTTGGTTAGTGTGTCATAGGTGCATGCACTGTTGCTGTATGCTTGTATAAGGATCATATAAAGAAAGGATTATCATAGAGAGCGCCATCTGTGAGACATTGACTTTTTCACAGTATAATATATAGGAAATACAGAAGTAGCATCTCATTTCATCTTAGATAACTTTTTGGATGCGGGAATAGTATTAGTTTGGCTAGCTTTAGGTTGAGGTTAATCAATGATTCAATATATTTAGTTTTTTTGAATGTAGCATCTATTATTCTTGTATTATTAACTATAGGATTTTCTAAAGCAGCTAAACATTTGGGAGAGAAACATCGTTAAGCAATTTATATTGCGATAGGACTTCCGGAGCAAAACTTTACATAAACAATTCTGTGATAGTTTCATGTTAAATTTGACAAACTGTGATGGTATGGTTCAGGGCCTAGGAAGCTTAAATTTCTTGTGCAAGGTTTATCTGTAGCGTTAGTTGAAGAGACCATTGGCCCCCACTTATGAAAAATGTAGTGGTTAAATCTTAACAGGAGGCAATTCTTACGTCTGGTGTATCTGGTAAATAAAACTAATGAGAAGATACCAAAATATGTGTATGAAATAATGAAATTTAGCCATATGGAGCACAGCATTAATGTGCGCAATATACAGTCAGTATGTACGCTTATTTTTCAAACTTCTATATTTGAATCTTCATACAATTGCGCAGCCAAGCTTTACAAAATACTTAATCGTGTGTGTTCGATAACTCCATGGAGCTCGTCTTAACTCACCCTGTATATGATATACATTCGATTACCTTTTATATTGCGCCTGAACAGGACATCTAAACTTGCAATCCATATAAGGCCCCAAAGGATGCGAGGTGGATTCCGAAATGCTGGCAAGATCTGCGGTCTTTTGAGATCAAGTGGGGGTTATCTATAAAAAAGGTCTGCGACCTCGACTTTGAAAATAATCCGCGAATTTACTTCTTGGCATATCGTAACAATGTTCAGTTCAATAACAACTTCGGTGATCTTTGTTTGTGTAGGTCTGTCGAGGGGTGACTATGCTACCAATCCATTTTTGATTGGCACGGGTAAGACTCTATTCATATATATAAGAAAATCAGGTATTATTGGTTTGGACGAAAAGTTTTGCAGATTTTGAGGTGAAAAGTTAACGGAAGTATCCAGACTTCCAACTATACTGAGTAAAAAAAAAAGGTAAACACCTACATATGTATATTAAAATTCAACAATTTTTGACATATCGATTTATCTTGCCATGAAAAACAAGTGATAAAATGGTCAGGTTTTTCTGTTAAGTTTCTGTGGTGGCTGCGTGTATTGTTTAGTGATAAAGCATTTATTTTTCGTTCGTTTACGGTGTCAGTTAAATGTTGAATTACGTGTAGCTTATTGAGTTTGTGTGATTGCTCAAAATGCCTGACTTTGAGAGTGGTCTATTTGTCGGGTTGCGTGATGCCGGTCTATCGGTAAGAGAAGTTTCTAGAAGGACCAACAGATTCTTACGCAGTATACGGCAGTGTTAACGAGCGTGGATTTTGAAAGGCAGAGGACAGCGAGCGAGGGGTTCTGGGCGTCCCAGAGGGATCACAGAGCGACAAGACCGCCGGTTAAGACTTCTGACTCTGAGAGACAGATTCAGTGTTATATGTAACTTCCACCATCTTAACTTTTAACGTTTAAGTTGGACTCCTTTACTTAAAGTATTCTGTTCTACTGTAAAAGGTTATACAAAACCTCACTTCGTAACAGTCCATCTTGGCTATTTATTCGACCTCCTAAAGTTCAGCTGTGTAATGATTATAATAATAATATGTATTATTTCAAAGGAATTAATGAAGGACAAGGTGTAGTAGTGCAGATTCCATCAATTCCATCGAGTATAAGGAAATTAATTATCACTTTTAGTTTAATGCATAATATTTCAGGCTCTAGGCACATTTGGAATTCGAGAGTATTATCTTACAGAAGTTTTATACGACGTGAAAAATATTTCCCCTTAGGCCACATGATATTAACAAACATGGCGTCAAGTAGCTTGACCCTGTACTTCACACGAAATTCTGGGCTTATGGACTTGAATATGTATCGTTTATAGGATCAACGACAAGTTAACTTTTGCACGCTCTAGTACCTTTATTACTCGACCGACGTCTACCCAAGCATGAGACTGTAGAGTGAAATAAGTATCATAAAAAAATAGTATGTAGTATCTTCACTAGCCGCCAGCCGTAAAACACTCACAGCTGGTGATGCTATTGGATAAATATAATTGCATTGTTAATTTATTTTTATTTTTTTAAATAATCGGTTCTGAGAGAGCATAATTTATTAACAACTTTCAAACGCCCTGATATCATTACATCGTCGCGTGTCGAACTTAATGATACTGCGATTGGGTTACCATTGACATTGCTGAATTCGGATCGGATCATCTGCAGGTAAAAAAATCGCATGTTCCTAGGTAGCTTATGTTGCGGGAGTCACAGACGTAAATATTACGTGTGTAACAGGTGGATAATACTACCGGGATCACAAATTTCTGAATAATAATACGTTTTTCATTGATAGCAAAAATGCAACATTTACAACCTCACTACCGCTAACTCTCAAATCCCAATTTTTGTTGCTCCTGTCACCGCCATAACTGGGCCGATTTTTTGAAAAATCCGAGCAGACAGACAAACAGACCGTCGAAAATGAGTGACATGGTTTTTCATCAAAAAAAATCTTATTTTCGATTACAAAACTTCCTCGTCAGTAACGTGAGAAGTAAAAGTTGAATTTTTGCTTTAAACGTCTTTTAACACATATAAACAGTAAAATAACAATATTCTCCTTAGATGGAATGAAAGAATACTGCAAAGGAGAAACTGGCCTCTTCAGAAGCACCTCGTGTAATAAGTTTGTGCATTGCTCGAGTGGAAATGCAATTGAGCAATCCTGTCCTGACGGGTTGTCCTTCAATTCGAAGGGGTATTGTGATTTTCCTCAAAACGTGGACTGCAATGGTAAGCAGCATTCATTATTTCTTTTTTGCAGTATTTTGGCGGATCTAGCTGTAGGGTAGCTAGACCTGATAAGACCCATGAGAAAAAGCATTATTATATCTACATAAAGTACGTAGATTTAGTGGTACTTACTGCATATAATTTTGCTATATAGTTCCACAACTTTTTTGTTAGCATCATTATTTTTTTTTAAATGGCGTCAAGTAGGTTGACTCAGCCCTTTCCATGCAACAAATGACAGTTATGCTTTGTGTACAATTTTGCAGAAAATGTTACTGTAACGTGCCAAGTCTAATAGGTATGTCGAACGGGATTAAAAAATGAGATATACTCCCCATTCCTACATTCTTCAACATTAAATTTTTAACTTCAACAATTTTTGTTTTGAAATTATGAGGAGCCTCTAAAATTTCGAAAAATGATGCTTGATCATTTATTACTTATTTTTTTTATTTTTCTGCACTTAGTTCCATCATCAGTAGCCTTGTGTGAAAATTTTTCAATTTCACAAGTTATAAACGGGTCAAGAAGTAGCAAACAGACAGACAGATTGACGGAAATGAGTGACATGATTTTTCGTGATGTACATCCAAAAAAGCATAGTACATATCTCATTTTCGAAGTTTATCACTATTACAATACTTTCTTGCCAGTGGCGTAAGAAATGAATAATTATAATAATTTTTAAGCAAAAAAATATTTAGATTAAACAAACCCTGTTTGATATATCTGGATATCAACATTCTTGAGTCGAATGGCTGGCTCAAGAACAGTTTGTTAAGAGTGTTATAGATGAGGTAAAAGCGTTCATTTCTTATCCGCAGAATATTCCGTTATTAACAAAATGTGTGTGAGCCAGCCATTTGGCTGTGCGATAGAAAACTGTAATAGAAAATCTCAAATCTCTATCATAATTTCTAATAAAAAATTATGAAGCGGTATAGTAAAAAAGGAAATGGTTAAGTAGCAGAATAGCTTTAGGCTGAACTCCACCCTTAATAAAATACGGTTGTAGGGTTATAAAATAACAAGACCATAAGTTGTAACCAGCGTATTTCGCATAAGGTTAGAAAGTAGGTACAATATAATCGTATTTATAATCATCAGAAACCCCAAGTTCCCCATTTACGTGTTGATACCACAAAAACTGCTTACATTATAGAGAGAAAAAAAGAATGTAAAAACTAAGTTTCAATGCGCTGTATCCCATTACTTCTTGATTTATATATATATATATATATATATATATATGTGTTTTGTACTTTTAATACACATACAAAGTTTTTGTAGATTTATCTGATAAATTGGGAATGTAAAATTGCACAGTGTCTGCAGCATCTATATTGAACCAGGTTCAATATCATACCTGGCTTCATACTCGGAGCTCACAGTTGCCCCCTCCGAGTCTTGACTTGTGCCTGTTCAGTTTTACGTCGATTGGAATCAAATTGGGACTCTTAGCCTCAACTTTGCTCTCATTTAGCCGACCTCCCATCTCTTACCGTTTCCGAGCTGTGAGAGTCGAATTTGAAACATCCAGTATAGAATATAATAAAATCTTTATTTTCTAACCGTAAACTATACGGCCATAAGCTGGACGAATAAATATTACTTTCCAAATACAGAAGGATCGCCCACTGCTAACAATGCTGGCGGCAGCGCTGCAAAAGGAGATTCCAGTTCCAGTTCATGGTCGCCACCCCCATCAGTTCAATCACCCGACTATGTAACATCACTATCCATTGGTATCAGTCCTCCGCAAAACGCCTTACCGTCGGGCAATGCAGAAAATGTAATTGGTAAGTAAGCCTACTGGGCGAAGAAGAATTTTACACCCCTACTCTCAGCATATGCTGAAACTTTCGCTGATATTGAAAGCATTGTGAGCTATCCCAAGCTTGCAATCTATCAATTTGATAATAATAATGATAATAATAATAATAATAATCCGCCTTTATTTAAACAACGTATAAAAGGGCGAAGTGTCGCTAAATAAGCGTTTTTCAAGTTAAACCCGATTGGTGATGCTTTATATAAAGATAGCAGTAACTTTATAAAGTTGAGCGTAGCGTACCAAACCAGACACCACAATATTTTGTGATGTCTCTAAAACTGCGAAAGGGACGGGTTGTGCACTGTTTATCCAAGAAATGTAAATTACAGGATTATCTGATACGTATACCATTTTTACGATAGAAGCTATGGCAATAGCAGGATCTCTTCAGTGGAGCATTTATAATGACATTTAATGAGTTGCTGTACCTTAGGACTGTCTGTATTGCAATCACTGGATAATATACACCCCAATTAATCCAACCATTACTTAATATGTAAAATTAGATCACTCATATACAACTTAAGATGTGTTTGCTTGCTTTAAAAACAAATTGCTGGCAGACTGGAAGAAACTTGGTCCGGAATTGAAAGAAATATATCTAATTAGTACAACAGAAATATCAGGAAAAAAGCTCCACATATTTTTGCATACAATGTCAGTAAAAAATATTCTACGACTATTACGAGGCTGAGACTCAAGCATGGTACTTCCCCTGCTTACTTACACAGATTAGGTTTGAAAAACTCTACCCTTTCTGATGATGATGGACAGGTACATATCTGGTTTTTTGGCTGCGTCAGGCATAAGCGCTACTCGGACATCCTAATTGAAAAACTTCTTGAAATGGGTTTACAACTTCCAATAAACATGTATGTACTACCTATAAAAAGAAAACCGATTTATGATCGGCTCGATATATTTCTTAAAAATTTAAAATAGAAATTTAGAACACACATTTCTATACTTACTTTGTGGCAAATAAACTAATGTTAAAATAAAAATGGGAGTATTACTTGTGGCCGTATTAAAGAGAAACTAACGCACTACCAAAAAGTGGCCAAGGCTCGAAATACAATGTGTTTGGTCACGACATACCGCGATATTTAAGAGGGATATTTTTCAGCTATTTTTATCGACAAATCCACCCCCCTACAACGTCCTAACTCATCCCCCTTGAAATGGCAGTCATTTTTATTTTTACGTCACGATTACGGTAGTACATGTATGAAAATTGTAATAACTGAGTACGTAAGTGTCACAGAATGATAAATTTGATGTCATTTGAACGATGACATGTTGTCCTAGCGATTATTGAAAAGTTTGTTTTGATACTAACCCTCAAACATACTTAAAAACAGACAAAAACAGAAAAAAATATGGAAGAAAAGTGATAATTTTGTGCATTTTCGCGCACCATTGAAAAACTAGTCTGTGAAGTTGTACTTTTTTGTGCCCAATTCTACAGCTTTTTGTTATCCTAAATATTTTACGTTAAGCAATAGATGCTATCTAACATGGGTCAAAATAGGTGTAAGAAGATGCAAATTGTTTTCAAACTTTTTATGCATAAAAATGACAAATCACTGCTTCTTATAGAGAGTTTGGACATTTTTAATGTTACACAAGCTGTTCAAAATGTCCTCCATTATTGGTTATGCACATTGTTGTTCTTAAAACAATGTGTTGTGTTGAGCGGCAGACCATATCCGTGTCAGCCCTAATTTTGTTCGCAGCGGTATGGATCCATTTCAAGGGGGTGAGGTAGGACATTGTACGTGGTCCATTTGTCGAGAAAAATAGCTGAAAAACATCGCCCTTAAATATCGGTATGTCGTGACCAAACACATTGTACATATATTCTTCATAGACCGCATGATGGACATATTGTACAATTTCCGTTGTCCTAACATAATAGCGAACCTTCAACTGCTCTAGTTTCAGAAGAGGTTGGAATCGTTATTACGCCTTAGAATTAGGACTAGCATGACACCCACGAGAAAAGTGGTGTAATTTGTTTTTAACATAATACTAAAATCGCTTCGATCAATATTTTTGTAGCGTATTTTGTTAATTCTGAACAAAAATAGTCCTTAGAAGACATTCTCTGATCGTTTTTAAGTCAAAAATGTTGTTATTATTATACGTGAGGTCGCCCAATGCCTGAATTAAATTTCAAACATTATGCTACCAGTTCCCGATGCAAAAGGTTATTGGGCACAATCCGCCCTGGTTAGCGAAACAATGCGTGCACATACAAAATTTGTGTTAAACAGTTAGTAATATATCATTATTTATTTTATGTAGATATTTTCTCAAAAAATCATAGGAGTAAAATGTACGGTAGCCAAAAAGTGCCATGGCAGAATATATTGTTACTGAACAAACGCTTACCAGATAACTATGAAAAGAGACACCAAGACTTTATTATTTCCTAAAATACTAATGCACAAGAAAAATATCATCATATACTTACTGCTAAGTATAGTTTCTTTACACCATATTCGGATAGACTGCTCCAAAGTAAGAAAACTCATAACTCACACCATAGGACTGATGGTTAGCGAGTAGCGGAAAGCATTCGACACTGAAAATGATCATTAATTTATTCTTTAATGAGTGTATAGATTCTTTTTAAAATAAGATATTTGTAAACCCGTTTTTTGGAATTATTTAATTTGGAATTGATTAACGGTATTCCAGATATGTTAGCAATTTACTTTAGTACATTGTAATATGTGAAAAATCAATTCACCGCCAAGAAAATGCACGGCAAAAAATAATAATCATCAATCAATCATGGATATCTGCAAGAACATTTAGCATCAGTCAGTGTTATCGTATGCCATAAAAAAATTTTGTATTTCATTTCAAATTGTAAAGGTAACTACCTAGTTGTGATTAATATTGAACAATGACTTATTCAATTCAAGAAAGGGTAGGTATCAAAACTGTATTACCAAAATGGGAGCATTACAGGAGTTATTGCCCGGTTGTTCAATCGGTTACATCCAGACAAAAATATTAAGTGTGTGTCTGTGTCTAAAATAGCAATTGTGGGCACGGAACACTTGACAACACCCAAAGCACTCGTGGACTGGCTATTTCTTCAGGATTTACACGTTCAACAGTACAAACAATTTTGAAAGACAATAAATTTCACCCGTACAAGACAAAACTTGTCCATGAGCTTAATGAAGACGATTTTAATAGAAGGTTGGAGCTTTCCAAATTATTGTCTCAACGTTTACTCGTAATCAACAATGCAAATCTGTTATTTAACATTTGTTTCTCGGATGAGTGTATGTTCTATTTACAGGGTGCTGTAAATAGTCATAATTGTCGATATTCACATCTGTTTCTAGAGATATATACTCGCAATATCTTGAAAAATAAATGTGTGGGCCGGCATTTTCGGAAATCATATTGTAGGACCTTTCTTTATTCCTGGAAACTTTACGGGCGAGACGTACTTTGACATGTTAGAAAATACAATAGAGCCACGAACTACCGAAATAATAGAAAATGACGTTAATTATAATGAAAATTACATTCATTTCCAACAAGATGGTGCACCGCCGCACAATCTGGCTCCAGTACGCAGTTTTACCAGATCTCCTGCTTTAACAGGAGATCTACTGTTTTTACCTAGATGCTACTGTTCTTCTATTTTCTCTATAAAATCTATTGTTATTAGGACAATACGTTTTTTATACTTCTCACCTGCCACTCCTAGAAAAAGGTGTCAGTTTTCGAATAGTGATTATTGACTGATCTGCTTGAAAGTCGAAGATGAACATTTAATCAGTTTATTTTTAAAGTCCTACTAGGTATTAGCTCATTTTCGATCGTTAATAAAATCAGCATTATACTTCGAATACTTAATTTAATTATGTAATTAAAGTTAATTTGCTGAAAACGAAACAGCGAAATAGGTTATCTGGGATGGCGAAACTTTCTTGAGATCAAAAAAATAAAAAAACTAATCTTGACATTCTTTTGATTCTGGAGGGCTGTGAAATGTTAATAATTCGGATGTATAATGATGAAAAACTCTAAAATGACTGATTCAGATTCAGAATGATTAGTATTTACTAGATTTGTGGCCAAAGTTTATTTTTATTATTGTATATTATTACTTTTTTATTTGGAAAAATTAGAGTTTACTAGTTTTATCGTCAAAGTTCATTTTTATTTTTTTTTGCTAAATTATTATTTGGCTGCCTTTATGTGATATTTTATATTTTCTACGAAATAACGTGATATTTACTTGCAAGTATGTTTTATTTAGTTTTCTCTGTGTTTATCAAGTTTTATGAAAGAATATACATATTTATTAAAATCTCTTGTTGGGATAAGCACATCTCCTGTTCTTTTGAGTCCCGTCCTACTGTTGAACTGCCAGTACGACAGTTTTTGAACACCCGTTTCCCGAATCAGTCAATCGGCAGACGAGGCCCCATTGAGTGGCCGCCGAGATCTCCGGACTTGAGTCATTTAGATTACTTTCTTTGGGGTCATATGAAAAGTACAGTTTTTAGTACGAAGCCAGATTCCATTCAAGATATTCGTCAGCGGGCTACTGCTGAATGTAGACAAATAACTCAACACATGCTTGAAAATGTAAGAAATAGATTCGAACAAGGCGGTGAATTGCTCAATAACTAATCACCGGAATACTATACTATGCCATATTAGCTTTCTTATTATGAAGGATTCTACCAAACATATCACAAAATATAGAGCGTTCCACTTAAAAAATATTTCATTGTTCTCACCAACAACACAACATCCTGTATATTGTTGAATATTATCAACATGTGTCTCCATGTACAGTGTATAATAGTATGCTGGTTTTATTTTTTTGAAAGGCTTTTGCGCCGTAGCTTGATAGCTTTACTTTGGTATTTTATACACGATAAACTACAAATCCTACCATATTTCATTTGTGTACGTTGAGCAAAAACCTGCTATTACGGCTCACTGTTTTTTATAGAGTTCGATCAATTGCTGGATCACTGTTCCACGGTATTCTATATTATGCTATATGAACCTCCTTTTGAAATGATACCAGCTTACTAGCCAAACATAGCATTAAATACAGGCCGTTCTATTGAAAAACATCTCATTGGTATGCAGCTCAACAATATAAAACCCTATTGAATTGTGCCAGAGTGTGCCTCCGCATAATAATCTATCAATTTTCTCTTTTTGAAAGGCTTCTGCTCAATAGCAAAGCTACATACTCGGGAAAGGTTTGCGATGCAGCTCGATAATTAGACATAGACACGGTGTTACTATTATCTCCCATATCCCAAAATAATGTACTTTATAAAGGATAAAATAGGACAGTGTTTACCCAAACCAGATTAGCGACAAAATGCCTATTATCTGATGGTTTTCCATTTTTTTTACTTTTTTTACAAGTTAAAAGTTTAACGAAAAATTATAGTCATTGCTATTTGTCCCACTAGAGGACTAGAGTTATTAATATTTAGTTTTACGTTTCGTTTGATAGTTAATTTTTATTTCTGGTGTATTAAAATAAAGATACTAGATTTAACACGGTGGGGTTTTTGTCTTTTCAAAATTTCCGGCGACTTCTATTGTTCCGTATTGCAACCCCTCATGACGCATTTTCATTCATGCATCTAGTGGAAAGTTTACAATGTATTTTGCTCAGTTACCTTATTTTAGGATATTGCTAGTCATCATTGTATACGCTCGCAAAAGCCGATTTTTAGTAAATGTGCGTTTTTTAAATTCTAATCACCTTTCTGTTGAGCGACAAAGCGGTATCTTAATTTTGATTCTCTGGTCGCTTATGAGGGTGAAACAATTGATATGAATATTTTTTTTCAACGAAGTTACCTTTTTCGCATTATCCAATGAGAGTATTTCCTAAAACAAAATTTTCTCATTCATTGCAGCTAAACGTTAACTGGAAAATAACTCTAGAAGGAACTTACTAAAGACATCGTGGCGTCGACACAAAAAAGATGATTTTTAGCGAGTGACAAGATATTTTTTCAAATGAAGTCTGATCATATTTTTTGCAGCGTGATGTTTTGTTAGAAAAATTAATTAATCGGGTCACTTTTTGCGTAAGCGACATGCTTGCCCTCATTCTCAGACCCTTCTCGAGAGTATTCACGAATTAATATCTAATCAGGTTACTTTTTCCAACTGCCAATTTCGATTTGTCTCATCACGTTTTTTTCTGTGACAGGTAGCTCTCCATCGATATCTAGATTGAAGAAGAGCTGTCGCAAAGCAAGAGGACAATTTGCCAGTACTTATTGTGATAAGTACATAAATTGCTGGGATGGTCAAGCAATAGAAGAAAAATGTCCATCTGGACTCCTATTCTCAGACAAAGGGTACTGTGACTTTCCACAGAATGTGAATTGTGGCGGAAGAATCTTAGGGGACGCTATACATCATCAGCAAGTGTCACTGGGACAGCAAGGAGAAGGTAGGCTTTACACGTAGGGTAACCGGTCAAAATCTTGTAGTCCGGGAAGTTGTTGTTACTGGTCGTTGCCGTGTACCACCTCATACATTTTTCCAATAACACAAATGTTGAAATGGAAATGATGGAATAAAACAAGTTGTTTGTGAGATGTTGAGGAACTTCTTTTTCGCGGTTTATTTGGATTGAGTGATGGCCTGGGTTACTCCAAATTTTTATCGGTAGGATTGTAGCTTATGATCGTATCGACGTGCAAGTAGCTTGAAAAAGTCTTTTCGCTTTTCTACCGCGTAAGGTAAATGTTGGTCAAACTTTAGGCAAATTTGACAATTTTTAGGTAAAGTATTACTTTTTCGTAAAATACAGATATATCTAAAGCTTTTGTATGCGAGGAGTCCAAAATATGGTAAACCGTATGATCTACCGGGTGTTTCAAATTAGACCCTCACATTGGGATCTCTGAAACGGTAAGAAATACGAATTCGCTTAAATGGCGCCAAAGTTTCATATTCAGGCAACTAACAAAATTCCGCTTAAAAAGTTTCAAAATTCAAAGGACTTCTGGAGAGAGACGGAAAAATTTTCTCAAAACCGTTTGAGTTTTTTGACTTTATTTGTAGTAGGTTTTAAAAATAAATTGTACATTAACATTGCCACTTTGTCTCGTCTCCAAGATGGCATAATCCGAATTTCAGTATGACGTTTCGTCTATTGTCCTCCAGCATCAACTTTATTTCTTTCCTTAAAGAGGATTTTTGCACAGATGACTCCAAAAATGTATATAACAAGTCATCCATTGACATTGGCAAACCTCAGTTATTTCAAAAAACAGAATATCTTGGGTAGCCCTTGAAATTATCAGATAGTCATTTGTTATCACAAAATCATTTTTATGTTTTTTTTAAATAGTCAGTGTTTGGCAATGTCCATATTACATATATATATATATATATATATATATATATATATATATATATATATATATATATATACGCAAAATTTTATTATGACGAAAAAATAAAGTTGATGCTACAGGACAAGAGACGAAACCTCATATTGAAAGTCTAATTATATCGGCTTGTAGAGGAGAAAATGTGGCAATGTTAATGTGCAGTTTATTTTGAACTCCGACTGCAAATAAAGTCAGGAATAAATTAAAACGATTTTGGGAACATTCGTTTTTCCCATCTCTCTCTCTGGAAGTACTTTGTATTTCAAAACTTGCTAAGCGGCATTTTGTTAGTTACCTCAATACACAACTTTACCCCTATCTAAGCCACTTTGAATACCTTACCGTTTCCAAGATCCCAATAGTGAGAGTCGAAATTGAAACACCCGGTATATGTGTTATTTATTCATTTCAAAATTTGCAAACCATTCACATGTTCCAGGTGTAGGATATTTTAGAATTAAATGGTACCGACCGTCAGCTGCAACATTTTAATGATGAATGAGTATTTGCTAGTGCCGAAATGAGAGGCGACTGGGATGCTGAGCCCAAAAAATTGTGCGTGTTTATGATTATCTATTCTCTAGCATTGCGCTTAGACATCGAAGTAAAATTAATAAGGACATTAGGTATACAGGGTGTTCCTTAATGATATGCGAATATTTAAGGGTGTGAATCTACACGAAAAATGAATGTTTATCCAAATCATTGGATTGGCCGCGGTGGGCCCCAAGAATGGCCACCAAGGTCCCCAGACCTCAACAGTTTAGATTTCTTTTTGTGGGGCTATCTTAAGACACTAGTGTACACAAGTCTCATTAACACTGTAGAGGAACAACAATTTTTGTAATCATTTCGTTGGTTATGTTTATGTTGTCAGCTGTTGTTGTTCATTACCCCTAATGTGTTTAATTTTTCAAATTAAATTAATAATAATTTTGCAAGTTAGACAATAGAACGGTTTTTATTTTTTTTCTCAAAAATGGCGCATCGAAGAAAAACAATTTAAAGAGATCATTTATTTTTGATTGAACGGGGAATTCAAAAATAATTTTTATTTGGCAGAAAACCATTGGCCTACCATTTTTTTCTTAAAAAATATCGAAGTCAATAACCGTACGCACGCCACTGTTAAAGCTAATAATTATTTCTTATTTCTTCTTTCACTACGTACTAAATATCAGTGAAATATTTGAAGCGGTTCTGAGAATATTAACTAATTTCCATTTTTTTCCTAAAACTTCACAATCCCGAGTTTTTGTAAGGAAACATTTTTGGACCATAGTTATATAGCAAACTAACATTAATTTTTCATGTAGATTTATACCCTTAAATATTCGCATATCATTAAGGAACAAAGCTTTAATAGCCATTTAACAGCGTACCGGCAGATATATGTAGATGTAAGTAACACCGCTTTGGAAGTAGTATCGCTCGGGTTACCTATCTTATTTTCTGCTCGAATCCACTTTGCTTCATTTTGCGGGTTTTGCTCATTATTTTCCTATTTTTTGTTATATATATATATACTCGTATATATAGTGTGTACACTGCTTTTGTTTTTTGGATCAAACCCAAAATTCCGCGGACCAGGCTTAGCGCGCCATATCTCAGATCAGACTCGACATTTTCTTTTGGATAGTTTCTATGGGGGCATGAAGCTTTGTAATGTTTCGGGGTCTTAGGCAGAATGGTTCGATCTGGAAGCGCGCCCAAGGTTTGAAGGTTTGCCAAAAGTGCGATTTTTAGCACTTTGGAACACTTTAGGTATGTAGATGATATTGGAGCTTAAGCTGGTCAGAGAGGTTATCTGTGTTACAAGTACGTCAACATGTTGCTTAATGTTAATTGGCTACTTCAGCTTTTAAGATATATTTACGAAAAACCAATAGATCCGTATACGTTATGTACAAGCTGAGGGTTGCATTCTCAGAACTGGTTTGAGCTGAAATGGTGGTTAAATTGGGAAAATATTAGCTCCCAAAATTTAGCTGCGTTTTTCTGAGTATGTGTTTTTTGTAAAAAGTTAAATATAGAAAATTTACAAAAATAGTCCAATAAAACCGCAAAACATTGGGAAAAATTTATTTTTGATTGAAATATTTATTGAATAAATTATCAAATCGCAATTTTTAATTTCTTGGACAATTTTACTTTGAATCTAATGCTTTTCAGGGATATAGGAGTAGCGAGAAAATGGAAATTTTGCCGAAAGGCAATAATTTACATTTTTGCAAAATCTTCAACATTCAAGCACATCTCCAGACCGAATCATTCGACCCAAGGCTCAGGTTTTACGGTCTCATGTCTTCATAGGTACTCTTCAGAAAAAAGACTGAGCCCGAGATGAGACATGACGTATCTGCTGAACCAATAATCAGACCGCAATGTGGAGGTCGTTTTTAGTTCATTGAACAATTTTGTTACGGAATTATGGAGCTTAATGCTTTTCAGAGACAGAAGCATCCAGAAAATGGGAAAGTTGCCATAACTTACTCATATTCACATTTTTCCGAACCTCCAAGCTGTAAGCGCGTCTCCAGATCCAACCCATCGACCTAGGACACTGAAATCTTGCAAAGTCCATACGTAGTTACCCTTCAGAAATAAAGCAATCTGAGATATGTCCCGCCAAAGCAGATCGTGGAACTTTAGTTTTGACCGCATTATGAAGAAATATCAAATTTTATCTCACCGTGTTTCAGGTGCAACAAATGTAGGTTCTAGTGAGTGTCCATTACTGTCAGGTACTTTCAGAGACAAAACCAGTTGCAACAAGTACTTCACATGTATCGCAAATCAAGTTGTGGCAAGACAGGAATGCCCGCAAGGGCTCTTTTTTAATGACGTAAGCATCAATATACCATAGCTTTAAGCATTTTGGTGCAGCACAACTTGATCAGAGAATTGTAATGCTATAGCTTTTAAGACTTTCACAACATGACTAATCTTGGGTATTTTTTGGCTACGTAATATATCCAAAGCCTTTGTTTCAGTATCTCGGTGTATGTGATTTTAGTTCAAGAGTTGACTGCTCTAAAGAACCTGTATACTTTCAATCTGCTAAGAAGGACCAGATTATTTATACAGGTAGGTATACTACTATCTTCAAATGCACTATGAAAAACTGATTGACGTATTACTCTTCAAGAAATCAGTTTCCATCATCCATCATTCCAGCAAGATATTCCAAAAATTACACTTCTTTCATTTCAGGTACCAATGATCTAGAGTGCATAGAGGAGTTCGGAGCTTTTAGAGATATCGGAAACTGTAGCACATTCTACATATGTGTCTCCAACAAACTTGTTGCAAAATACAGCTGCCCAGAAGGACTCAGTTTCAATGATGTAATTATTATGTGGCGTTTTCGCCCGCTCTTACTACATTTTATGTATTCTTTTTAGAATTTGGGGATATGCGACTATTCTAAGAATGTAAATTGTTGGCTACCTCCAAAGGTGTTCAAATCAAGAGAGAACTTCATACAAGCTATATCTCCAGGCAAGTGTCCAGAACGTTCCGTATGATTCATAAGCATCCATTTTTCTAAATTTAACATTATGGTCCGTCTATAAGCTTAACCTAAGCCGAAGCTAATGACATATGAGGTTAAGCTGAATTCAGCTAAGTGACTTTATAAGCCCGACCTTATACGTTTTTGTTATTTCAAGAGAATCCAGTTTATGTTAATAATCAAGTTTCTATAATGCCAGTATGTGTATTAGGCATTTTATTTTCACGTTAGTTATGCGCTAAATGAAAACATTAGTAGAGTACCCCTCAGGAGTCGTACTTCGGATGTAACAAATTGGAAGTTTTGAAACATTAAATGTGTTACCATTCCAGGACGGATGTACAAAAATAAGCGATCGAAGTTGCACATACCTCCTTCTTTTTCTGCCCACCAAATATAATGAATTGCAACGTCGCATTAGCGTCTAAGGTGGTTCAATAAGCATTTAGGTAGTGGCGAAATGATGAAGAGTAGCGTCACTCCATCGTTAAAACAGTTTTTGGCGAGGTGTCTGAAATTACATTGTGGTATCCAAAATAATACATGCAGTTAAACTGTGGTGTCTGTGATGCAGAAGGTAGCGAAACTAGCAGGAAGTGGGGTGCTAATATTTCGATGCTCTGCTAATGATGTAAACGCGACGATTGTCATTCTAACATATTTGGAATTTGAGACAAACGCAAAAAAATAATTTATGTATTTGCTTGAAAAAGCCACCGTGATTGCCGAAATGTCATTAGTAGACACTACTAGCCTATGAGGTTTCATTTGCAAAAACGTGGAGGATTATAAGATCATTCGATAGCGACTCCAAAAGCCCACCGTTCTTTTTGCTCTCCTAAAAAGTTACACCGTGCTGGAACTCTTTTTTATTGAACAACTAAATTTTTGTGATTCATGAGTGGATAGTACCAAAAAGAAGAAAATACGATACAAATTTGTCATTAAGTTTTACATTCTACGTTAATGAGTAATGGCAAACATTTCCAAAGCAGATTGTTCAAGTATATTGCGAGAAAATAGATGTCATGTTCCATTTCTTTATTTAATTTTATACTCTTCAGTCTATATTATTCATGTTCACTTGAAAAAAAACGAACATTTAAAAACCAAAGTGATTGTTTTCATCTACACTGAAAAAGCTTTTAGGATGGAAGCACATAGTTTGAAGAATCTGCTTTCTTTTCTGGTTACTAAGTTTAGCGCCCTTACACTTATTTTCAAACTTGTGACCGAACAATAATCCATTCCAACCTCTGTTAGAATCAGTATAGCAGTTACTTATATTGCACAATGTCAAGGAAACCAGAACGACAGGTGGGTTATCGCCAATGAGTGGAACGCTAAAGCACTCTATGTTTCAAGCCTATTATCCAGAAAATGCTATTTATCGTATATCGTTTAGACAGAAAAAATAATAATATGGATTACCCTGTACAAACACAATTACTCTATGACATGCCAAACTACGAATTACTCTGTTGAAATCAATAAAATTAAAAGTAGGAAACCGATTCAGATGAACCTCCCCCCTGTAACCTTTCTTCCCTTTATTTGGATATCTTCGTTTGGTCTATAAAATGTTCAAGTTGATGATTCCTCTATTACCAACGGCAGATTTGAGAGTGGAAGAATTTGCGGCGATTTTTAATATAATGATATATCAACTTTCCTATTATTAAATCGTCAGAACACAAGAGTTGAAAATATGAAATATACACACTCCTTAAAGTGTTTTGAAGGGTACTTACTAATCTATATTTCAAGATACATCATCACTTTTTGACTTCTATTGAGGTTAACAGCTGATCAGCAAAAGACATCGTTGTTATAAGCTTGTGCTGTTGGCAATAATGTACCTAATTGCGCGTATGTGATTGATAGAAATTGAGACGAGGGAAATAGTTACAAAAATACTTCCACTGAATGAGATTTGACGCAATGAAATATATCTCTCTCTCTATCCAGAGATCCGTTCAAGGTTGTAAAGTCTGGTTTTATAGATGCAAGTTGTTCAAGGGGGTATTTAAAACATGGACGCATAAAATGGGTACACCAATTTTTGTGGAAAAACTTTTTATTCGACAACAAAGAATGAGAAAACGAGGTTTTGAGATTCAATTGAAAAAGTTGGCAGCAGCGAAAAAACTCTTCAAATAAGATTTTTTGATATTTATGAGACCTACAGAATGAGACCACCCGTAAAAGGATCCCACTAATAGTAAAAAAGTTATGGTCGAAAACCGAGGCAAAACGCAGGTTGCGGCACTTGTTGCTAATTCGACAATAATTTCAAGCAGCTACTTGAAATTCTTCAAATCCGACTGCTTCTTACTTCTAACTAACCACAACAAAAATTGGAGTCGATTGGTCAAGTAGGTTTTGAGAATTTCTAATTGCTTATCTCAAAACACCTGTCTTCCGGCCAACACTACTACTTTATTGAGCGATATACAGGGTTCGTTCAAAGAGAAATTTATAGAAAAATACACAAGTTTACCTTGCCGACATGAATCACAAGCCATTCCGGAGGAAAATTGTTATTTTTATGCGAAAACCGAAGGGTTACGTTTTTTACTTCTAAGCAAATTCAAACATTTCGTATTTGTAAGTAATTTTTTCTTCAAAACAAAAGGTGATAGACACATCCGCTTTGTTTTAAAATGTGTTTAATAACGTATGTTTTTAGAATACCGTAGCGAATCTGTTCAGTTAATTATTAGTGCGATCTTTTTACGCGTGGTCTTATTCTGTAGGTCTCATAAATACCTAAAAATCTTGTATAAATACCTAAAAATCTTATTCTAAGAGTCTTTTTCCCAAAAAAACACGTTTTATCATTCTTTGTTGTCGAATAAAAAGTTTTCCCACAAAAAAATGGTGTACCCATTTTATGCGTCTATGTTTTAAATACCCCATTGAACAACTTGCACAAATAAAACCAGACTTAACAATTATTTCGCAACCCAGGGGTATTTTAGTCTAATTCAATTCAAAGTTCAAAGTTTATTCAAATTCAAAAACCAATATAACTTACAAATTAAAAACAACCTTCAGTACAATTTAAATAAAAAAAGCTTCAAAAATACATGAGCTTGTATGCTCTTGCTACCCTGAATAACCAAGATTGCAACAGAAATCTGAGCAAAGATGCTAGCATCAGATCTAGAACCAGCAAGTAACGGTATATGAATTGTGAAAATTCTGTATATTTTCGTAAAGGGTAAATATCTGGATCTTGTCGTCACACATCCTAAATTACGTGTCTGCATAAACAAATCTAAAATTCATAACAATAGTACAGAAGCATACTAAAAACACTCAGAAGTATAAAATAAATATAGAGTACATAAAATATGAATATCTGAAATATGATAATAGAGGGATATTTCGAGTAACGTCAAACTATGTTGTTTAAACAATAAAAATTTTGCGTAAAGGTTAAGCAGAGAAACAAGAGTATTACAATTTGCTACAAAAGAATTTACTACAAAATAATAGACACCTAAGCTATAAGCTTGTGTGTGTCATACAATATACAAATTCTATGCATGGCTAATGGTCATAAGGTATATTATGAGAAAATGTATATAAAAAAGAAATAAAAAAAAGAAATAAAAAAAAACATTAGATAGAAACGAAATTACTGAGTTGAGTCAAGCTACCGTCGATGCAAGCATGTCAAAGTTATTTAAGATGAACTTCTTAATTCTTTTTTTGAAACTATACTTCGAGAGGATTTTATATTCTAGGGGTCATTTATTATACAACCTAATACCATCAAACTTTATGCATTTTTGGCAAACAGATTTATTCACTCTGGTATAGGTGTAACTTATATTTATTTTAGTTCTTGTTTCATAAGCGTGGCTGGTTGGAACATTGTTTCGGGAGTGAACAAATTTTAGAGCAGCAAAAATATATAAACCTCTAACATTCAAAAGATCATTTTCAATGTAAACAAATCTGCAACTTGACCTACATGGGATACGAAAAATAGTCCTGACAATATAATTTTGCGTGGTTTGTAGTATTTTTAAAGTACTAGTGTATGCGGCTCCCCAAATACTTATCCCGTAAGTTAGTAGAGACCCCACAAACGAGTTATATATTGAGAGAAGACTCTTTCTGCTTAAAATATTCCTAAGAATGAAAAACTTATGAATAATTCTCCTTAATTTCGATGCCAAAAGCTCGGCATGACTCTGCCATTTTAAATTACTGTCAACAATGATTCCTAAGTATCTAATAACTTCAACTCTTCCGACAGTATCAGCACTATCATTTATAATTAATGTTCGGTGGTGTAATGGCATGCCTGCTTTGGTTGGAGAAAACGTTACATACTTAGTTTTAGAGATATCAAGTTTAAGTAAATTGTTATCCAACCAGCATTTGACTTTATTTAATGACAACTCGGCATTCCGTATTGCGTCATCCCATGAATGACCAGTGCAAACTAAAACAGTATCGTCTGCATATGATATCATCTTACAGTTGAAATTACATCGAAGTAGTTCATTTATGTATATGAGGAACAGTGTTGGTCCCAAAACCGTCCCCTGAGGCACACCTATTTTGATCTTTTGAATGTTGCTTAAATCTGACCCTACCTTAACTTGCTGTAATCGATCAGCCAAATAGTTCTCAAATAAGTTCAGAACTCCACTACGCACTCCAACACTTTCTAGTTTCTTTAATAAAATTGCATGAGATACTGAATCGAAAGCCTTTTGAAGATCTAGTAAAACTGCAACAGTCTTATTTCCATCTTGAAAATTTTCAAGCACTTGTCCTGTAAGTTCTTGTAGAGTTTGCTCTGTATTGCAATTTTTGCGGAACCCAAATTGACAGTTCGATATTATGTCATATTTCTCAAGAAAAGAACAAAGTCTGTTATTCAAACACTTCTCAAAAATCTTCCCAAATACATTGATAACTGAAATAGGTCTATAACTGAACATATTGTCTTTACTTCCAGATTTAAATATTGGTGTCACTATGCTTTCTTTAAATTGGCGAGGAATTACTGAGGATTTGATAATGTGAGTTATAGGGTGACTGATATACTTCATGATCATCTTGATAGTTTTAGTGTGTAAGCCATCTTTTCCGGGTGCGCTATTATTTTTCAGATTACAAACTATTTGTTGTAACTCTATGTTATCCACTGGAGTTAGAAACATAGAGTGATCAATGTTGACGACATGACGATCTGATGTATCAAGAATTGAGTTTTGATCAATCTGACTTGTTATTTGCTCACCTATATCAACAAAATATTTATTAAAAACACAGGCTATATGAGTGGGAGCGTCCAGCTGCTGGTTATTGTGATTAATTGATTTTATGTCATTTTTTTTTATTTTGCCAGCATTAGTTACCTCATTAATAACATCCCAGCTCTTCCTATAGTTATTACCAGCTAAAATGAGTTTTTGTGTATAATACTGATTTTTAGAGATCTTAATAACATTAGTTACTCTGTTTCTGTAAAAAATCATTATCATTATCTTTCGTCAAACTCTGTTTCAACTCATCCCTCTTCTTGATTGGAATAAGAATACCGTCAGTCATCCACGGCTTGCGTTTTCTGGTCTTACTATTTATTTTCAAATAATAAGTTGAATGATCTATGCCTTTATATAATTCATTATAGAAGTTATCAGTTGCTTTTTGGACATCACTCTCTGAAAAAACACTGTCCCAAGTCACCACTTGTAAATAATCTGTCAACTTTTTCTCATCAATTTTCTTAAATTCATAGCTGTTTTTATTAATGATACAATTACTTCCTTTCAAATACCCAAAATTGAACAAAACAGGATAATGATCGGTCATACAATTTTCCAAAAGTATTGGTTTACACTCAATTGCTGTTGCAGGGACCTTAAATCTGTTTGCCTTCAAAAATATGTGGTCGATAATCGTAGATGAGTTAGAATCTACCCTAGTAGGTGTATTAATCTGAGATATGTACCTACCCGTTCTGTTGCAACATATTCACGTATCTTAAATTACTGTATTCATGTTCTCTCAATAAGTCTATATTTATATCACCCACCAACAACGAAATGTCACAGTTTGCAGTACTTCTCAAATACGAATCCAAATTGTTTACAAAATCCTGTACATTCGTGGGATTAGGCCTGTAGATACCAGTAATACTGAAACTGTTATTGTTGAAAATAAAGCTCCAATTCAATGCCGTCACTACATCTATCATTTTTATGGAAACATTTGCCGAAATGTCATCTCTTACATACATACAAACCCCATCGCATTTATTATACTTGGCTTCATTATAGTAAATTTGGAAGCCATTTATTTTATAACTGTCGATATTACTGATATTCCAGGTCTCACTCAAAACAATTAAACCTATATTTTTATTCTTATTCAACACCGCTATGTTTATACAAAGCTCATCATAGTGAGCTTGCAAGCTCCTGATATTGTAATGAAGTATAGTGAAGTTTAACTTATCACTTCTCTCAAACAGAACAACTATTTAATTCATCAAAATTAGAACAACTGATGGTCGTGATATTGTTATAATCCTCTAAAATATTCAAAGCTGTATCAATATCAGTCATATACAAATCAAGCTAAACTCAATATGAATGCAGAAAAAACTGAAACTAACTAAACTGCTACAACTAAACAATGGCTCAGTTATGTAATAAATTACAACTCGCAAGAAAAGGAAGGAGACAAAAAAAAGAAAAGAAAAAAGCACTAAACCAAAATGAAAAGCTCACGTCCACTCTGCAGCAACCTGAGCAGTACATGGGATCATTACTGCGCCATGTTATTCAATTCCTCTTCCGTTTTTATCTGTAACTTGTTTTCTCGCAGTTTCACCCATATTTTTCCGTTATAAAACCAGATAATCAGCTGGTATTTGTTGACACGTTTTGCACTATATCTTGAAAATAATGCAAGTATGTTTAATTTTGAAGGTTACAATACAAACCTAAAACTGGCTGGTATACTGCGGAGACGTTAATGCGACATGGCTTCGATAAGTTATTAATACCATTTTTAAGATATGTTCTGAATATGTATTTACTGATACGTTAAGTTCTTAATGCATCCTTTATATTTGGGAACCTATCATTATCTACCATATACCTAAGTAGATACCTGTTGTTAAGTCCAAGATTTTCAGTCTTCGTTATCATGTTAGCTTGTTTTTGTATACCCGTATGTTAATATTATATTTTCCAGAATTGATGCAGCAAATCAGAACCTGCCAGGTGGGTAGCCGTTTTCCATTAAATCCCCAATGCACGGCTATGTGTATCTGCAAAGAACAGACCGCAGAAATCGTGCAGTGCCCTGCAGCTCTGGCGTACGATTCTCCGACGGACAAGTGTGTTCTACCACATCTCGCTAGATGGTAGGTAAATTGTTGTTTTCATTCTTCCTCCGAAACTGTGTCCGGCCGTTGCGTTGACGCGAAAGCCCAACACATCGATAGAGCCCGGAGCCCGGACCCTGGAGTCCGGTGGCTGTAGTATTATTGGGGGCCATCACCTCAGTATTTTGGTAGCCCTCATGCGTTCACCCCAAGAACTGGCGATATTTAACGTTTATGTTTTTTGTGTGGATTAAACAGTTATAATAAATATAGCCTGTAGTCTAATCATATTGGCAAATTTCCCCTAAATAATTGTAAAGTCTGGTCTTATTTGTGCAATTTGTTCAAGGGAGTATTTAAAACATTGACGTATAAAAGGGGTACACCAATTTTTGTGGGAAAGCTTTTTATTTGATAACAAAGAATGAAAAACGTGTTTTTTTGGGATTCGCAATTGAAGTGTTGTCAGGAACGAAACAATTTTTCATATAAGATTTTTAGGTATTATAGAGACCTACAAAATGGAACCACTCGTAAAAAATCCGACTAATAACAAAAATGTTATGGTCGGAAAACTAGGCAAAATGCAGGTTTTGACACTTGCTGGTAATGCGACGATAATTTCACGCAACTACTTGAAATTATTTAAATCCGTAGGATTCATACTTCTAAATAACAGCATCAAAATTTAAGTATATTGGTCAAGTAGTTTTTTGAGAACTTCTAGTTGTTTATTCCAAAACACCTGTTTTCCGGACATCACTAAGTACTACTTTATTGAGCAATATACAGGGTTCGTTCATTTAATAGCAAAATACCTCGCCGATATGAATCACAAACCATTCCGAAAGATAAATGTTACTTTTATGCGAAAAACGAAGGTTAGGTTTTTTTTCTTCTAAACAAATTAAAACATTTCGTATTTGTGAGTAATTGAACAAATGCGCTACGATATTCGAAAAACATATGTTACTATACACATTTTAAAACAAGGCGGATGTGTATCATACCTTGTTGCGCATAACTCACAAACACGAAATGTTTGAATTTGTTTAGAAGAAAAAACGTAACCCATCCTTTTTGCATAAAAAAACATTTATCTTCCTGAATGGTTTGCGATTCAAATCGGCAAGGTAAACTGGTATATTTTGCTATAAAATGCCATTTGAATTAACCCTGTATATTGCTCAATAAACTAGTAGTGATGGCCGGAAAACATGTTTTTGGATAAACAATTGTGTGATCTCATTTTGTAGGTCTCATAAATACCTAAAAACCTTATATGAAGAGTTTTTCCGTTCCTGCCAACACTTTCAATTGAATCCCAATAAAACACGTTTTCTCATTTTTTGTCGTCGAATAAAAAGTTTTCCCACAAAAATTGGTGTACCCATTTTATGCGTCCATGTTTTGAATACTCCATTGAACAACTTGCAGAAATAAAAGCAGACTTTACAATTATTTTGAAAACCAGGGGTATTTTCGTCTAATATATGATTAGACTATTGGTGTATATCTGTCCCCCAGAGCCTGACTAGGATAAGTCCACTTTTGTCGACAATGAGTTTAATATGTTAAGCTTATGATTATATTGTGAATTTTCAGCGTCCATCTATCTGTAATAATAAGGAAGTTACGAGTTTTTAACTAGAATTATCTCAGAACTACTTATTTGGACTTAACTCTGAGGTACAGATATGCATAGCATGGAATAGGGTACCTGCCTGCTGGAATAGTTTGTATTCAATTGTAGTCATACGGATCCAGACAAAAAATTGAGATGAGCACAACAAGGAAAATGAAATGCTGAAATTTGTGATTATGTATATGTATGAGTATTTTTTTCCCAGTGATCTTTTGGGCGGAGAAGTGAAGTCTCCCTCCACCTGCTCCTTGCTCGTTTTTTCACCTATCTGTGTACCAGATAACTTCCCCTTGCAAGTTGTGCCTTTGGAATTACATTTGATCTCCTATTTTGGTCTCGAATTTCTTTCTGAAAACAGATATTAAGAGCCTTTGGCTGTAACTGTAGCCTGAAGTAGCCCATTTTTGCCTCACTATTATTACAAATTGTAGAGGTGCAAGGTCCGGTATGATCTCAAATGCTGCAGTTGGAGCGCACTTCATTGCACGTGTTATCTATAGGCAGGCGAGTTTTGTATCTTGCCTAATTCTGAGATGACAGGTCGTTGTCTCATCTTCAGCCACCAGACCGGATATGTATAAGTTATCCGGATATGTATAAGTTATCAGAGGTCATACCAAGGGGTAGTATTCCTTCATTTTGCATAATGTGAAATATGACTGATTAATACTCGTATTGCATATTCTACCCACTGTCTGAAAAAGGAATTATGTTTTTCGAGCGTGCGTACGAGTATGTGGATGTATTTTGAGATATGAGATATTGTGAAATTCGTCTTATTGTTAGAAGCGCGAGTGACACCGGGTATATCAAAATTGTATAAAATGAAAATGGTGAATTTTAGTGTGATTTTGATCGAAAATTTCAACTTTCAGATTTATATTTCACGGGCTACAGCTTAAACGGCTTGATTGATCTTGACATAATATATGAGGTGTCTAGATTTAATTGTTTTCACAATGACACTGTAAAGATATACATATATGCAAATACACTAAAACTTTATAAAGTCAAAATGGTGGTTTTTAAACTCAAATTCCAATGTTGACATTTCTCCTTCACGGACTACAGCAGTTTGATGGATTTTGACATTTGAGGTGTCCTTAGATTATTCTTGATAGCACAATCAAACATACATTCTTTTCAGGTGCAGCAACATGATTCTTTGTTTGTCTAATGTTCTTGCTTTAATTAATAATTAAGCTGGTTTAGCGCTGGTATGTACATATGAAAAGAGCCTAAAAGCACTATTCTCATCTTTTACTGGAGTATTACCAGCATATCAACTGTCATTCATAAAGATTTTTCGCCAAACGTTCTCTTATTACATCTACTGAGGAATAAAATATGTTATTTCTTTCAGCTAAATATCGAGACTGACTGAGCAAAAATGAGGAGTAGCGAAACAAACCTTGTAAAATGAACCAAAAATATAGTCCAACCTTGAAATTGTTTGTTGATTTTAAACCACTGAAACAATTTAAAGGCAACCCTCATATTGATTTCAACGGTTAGTCAGTTATTTTTAGGTTTATTTTGTAATGTGAGGAATGGTGTAGAGTATGGGTATTTATTGTATATACCGATTAATGAAAAATAAAACATTAAAAAAGTAGAAACTATTATTTTGCTTCATTACATAACTGCGATTTATTTCGTGAACAATTTTAAGCAAAAAGTTTGGCAATGTGGGCATTTAAATTCTATTGGAAACACATACAGCGAGACAAAACTCATATGGCAGTGAAAGCGATATTGATGGATACAGGGCAGGACTTTCACTTGGTAATTATGAGCCGTATCGGTCGTATTGGATGAATTTCGGTGGTATTAAAATTAATGCTACATATAGACTCTCTCATTTTTTCCATAAAATCAAAGATTTCATAAATAATAACCGAACTATCTGACACTCACGACTGACGTCAATAAATAAGTATATGTGAGATGGGTTGACCTTGGAAATCCATGCTCTTTGTGATGGCAATTCTTACAAAGTCATAGTTACTGCCATACGATAACAAATTCCTTCTACTCACGCTAACACCCATCGAATTCAAGGACATAGATGCGGCAGCAAGTCGTTCGAGTCATTATTTTGTCAATACGGTCCCTCACTTTGTTGACTTCGGTCGTCGACGTTAAAATTATAATACATCCTGACGGCAAACGAAAGTTTCAAGTAAATAAACTATTATTATTGCTGAATCGATATATAAGTATTTGCCATGATACTAAAAAAGTTATTGCTTTTTTTCATTTTAATTAAAATACTGGTAGTGTTCCTAGGAAACCCAATGGTTCCTTATAAGGCTGACAAAAATTGACAGTTGGCCTTGCTGGGACGCAACGGACTTATTAAGAACATCCAGGTATCACGGAAATATGAATAATTAGTTTTTAGTTGTATAGAAAAGTCGGGTATATTTTACGGGTCTTTAAGCTTAAAGGCCATCCGGTACATCTGTTCAAAGTATTTTTTATTTCATTATAAAGGTTGGAAACTTATTTAATATCGATATAATACTCGTTAAAATTATTTCTAAGACGTCTTCTCGAATACATTTTAAGCTTTTAAATAGTGTTCGAGTAATAATATCCTCAGAGAATTTGTTATGAGAGTATGTTATTCTATTTAATGCATCACTTTAACGAAATAAAGGTATAATAACTGTTTATTTATTAAGGTGGCCTTTCACTGTCCCCCCACCCTCCCATACTTTAATCAAATTAGTAATAATCAATAAAGAATCATTTCGAGGACAATTGTTTGGTTGAGACTTAAAAAACTCACTCAGATCTGTTCATCTGCCTGAATGTTCTTGATAGCGTCTGCGATACCATACAACACGTACCCCAAAATCTGCCTATTATCCAAAAGTTTGCTTGTCGCTCGTAATCGTACCATATAGCCATGGATTAGCTTATTCCACCAAAAGCTGTGCGTGAGAGAAAATAAAGATAATATCGTGACACCGCCAACCTAGGGTTACAAATTATCCTGACAAATAGCCAAACATAAATTTCAAATTACACGGTTTAAAAATTACTCTAAAGGGCACCAAATAGGTGAACTCAAATGCCAAATACTTGTGGCAATGTAGTAAGTATAGTATGTTTTATTTGTCTCATAATTTGATCCCATATCTTTCATCTGAAATTTCATAACTTACCAGAAGAGTATTTTGTTATAATAACTCCAATTGTAATGATGTAAAATAACTTGTTAATTCATAATATTTATTTGTCCTGACTATAGTCCCAAAATCCTAACATCTTAAAATTTTACGCAGGTATACTCAGTGACATTAGAAGTCTTAGACCCAGAAAAAAAATTCTCCAACTTGAATTTTTGGCAAGAGGTAGTCTTACATCAAGACTGAAATGACAACACTCTCACGAAATACTACTGGCAACTAATAAGAAACAAAACTAATGTATTGGGCGACCCCGCAGCTGAATACACTCCTGTATACGCCTAGGCATCGACAAAATGAGATGATCGATGTCTGGTTGTGGCGACTCATTCCAAACAACTCGAACATCGTGGATTAGCTGTGGCATAGTCTGTGGCGGATGGTGCAAAGTTAATAGTCTCCTCCCGATCATATCTCACATATGTTCGATGGGATTCAAATCTTATGAACGGGAAGTCCGTAGTATGACGAGTAAAAAGGACGTGTGGACGGCCCTCTAGATGCGGCAGTAAAGAGCTTTGTCTCCCCTTTTTACGTAATATGTGATCTATATCGATTGAAATTCATAAAGACCAATTGATAAAATATGTGTATATCCGACATATCAAAAGTTCTATACTTCTTTACCCTTAAACGATAATGACGCCCTTTCGCTTGAAGTTATCAAATAAAAACGTGTTATCTTTTAAGAGCACAAGGAGATAAGGGTATAACTGGGTTTCGTAAGGATCTTTATTATTACTTAAAGGCTATGAAATATAACACGGTATATTTCCAATCGGAAAAGTTATTTTTACATTTTAGCTCATTTATTAACAATCAAATAACAGCTTGTTTTCAAAAATCTATTTCTTATCTATCATTTATCAATTTGATAAAAAATGTCCAAAAAAAATTCCAATACATATTGGTATTTTAATTTAGCTTTAGTTTTCAGTAAATTAGTAGAAAAGCTAGACCCAGTTTGACAAACAGAAAATTGACTTCAACCTGCATGCTGCAAAATTACTTTTCTCCATTTTTATTATCATTGGTGTAAGCAATACATCCAGTCATTCTATGGAATTCAAGAAACAAAAAATCACATGCAGTTGTCTTCTATTATTACTAGGAACACTTTCACTATTTCTGAGATCATCTTCACGTTGCCACATATTATGTAAGTCTCGTAATAGTAATTAGTATGTATGGAGTATGAAATCCCGCGCGACTGGGATCTGTAAATAAAAAGCAGACATAGATAGAATATTCTTTGGGGATTAGGATTATCTGCTGTCAGTGGGTGTTACCGTAATAAAATTTATTATGTAATAGTTTTAAAAATGTGAACGAAGTAACATCGCTCCGTTCAAATCGTTAATAATCCTAGTAAGACGGGCAACATTGCTTCTCATAAAAAAAGGAGTAATGAATGACCGTCGAAACCAAAATCAGATTCTGCTATCCTACTTTTTTAAGTTACCATGCATTTGTTTCCACATATTAAGTTTTTGCATTTTGTTCCACATATTTAGTTTTTGCTGGGAAAGGAGAGACACATTGATGTCTGAAGCTCCATGATTTTCTGACCAAATGAAACCACACATGTATAAATTACTTTTTACTGACATTTCGGCCACTACGATGACTTTTTTAAAGTACAGAAGATAAAAGAGACAAGCAGTCTTGCGGAAACTCGGATGAAAAACAAATGGGCCTATGTACATATGTACGAGTATGTTTTCACCTCGGTGTCTTCGATTCACATCCACTTGGGCCTGAGGAAGCCAATAAGCAGAACCGTACGTCGCTCCAGGTCACTTATGCCCACGATTGACCTTTGCCCAAAAGATCTACAAACAGAAAATGATCAGGCAGAGAAAGGTATAAAACAAAAAATAGGAAAATAATGGGCAAAATCCGCCAAAAAGGAGAAAAGTGGATTCGAGCAGAAAATAGGATAGGTAACCCGAGCAATACCTACCTATTTCTGCTTGTTGGCTTCATCAGACCCGAAATGAATGCACATATGCAACCACTAAAGTAGATACACATGCCCGTAAATCCGGATACGGGTGTAACCTGAGGAAACGAAGATGGAAAGGGAAAAAATATCACACACGAAGTCCCCAACAAGAGCCAACCTACACATTGTAGTATAAAATGGCTAGAAGACCTCGAATTTTCAAGGCGACAAATAACCACAACCACGCGGCCGGTTATAGCTACTTACTGTCGTACTTCAAGCCCAAAGAATCTACAAAGAGAAAATGATCATGCGGAGAAAGGTATATAACAAAAAATAGGAAAATAATGGGAAAAATCCGCAAAAAAGAAAAAAGTGGATTCGAGCAGAAAATAGGATAGGTAACCCGAGAAATACGTATTTCTGCTTGTTGGCTTCATCAGGCCCGAAATGAATGCACATATGCAACCACAAAAGTAGATGCTCGGATTACCTATCCTATTTTCAGCTCGAATCCACTTTTCTCCTTTTTTACGGATTTTGCCCATTATTTTCCAATTTTTTTTTGTTATATACCTTTCTCCGCATGATCATTTTCTCTTTATATATATATATATATATATATATATATATTACAAATAGAAAAAAATAATGGGAAAATCCGCAAAAACAAGGAAAGTGAATCCGAACAGATAGGATAGGTAACCCGAGCGATACGTATTTCAGCTGGTTGGCTACATCAGGTCTGAAATGAACGCATATATGCAACTAAAAAAGTAGATACACATGCCCATACATCCGGATACGGGTGTAACCTGAGGAAACAAATATATATCTTATTTAAATACCGATGTTACACATTGCAGAGTTTAATTTTTCGCCGATGATTCACAAATTTATAATCATTTCTAATGTTCAAACTGCTGTATCTGAGGTCGATGATTATCTAAAATGTATTAGTACATATGCAAAGAATCATAATCTTCAGTTAAGCCCGTCAAAATCAAAAGTCATTATTTTTTCACCTAAACCACTTAGAAATGATGCGAAAAGAAACTTTAACATAAATTTAAATGGTGACTTTATTGAGGTGAGTGAAGCAACAAAAAACCTAGGTATCATATTTGATGAATGTCTCAAATTCATACCACATGTGAATAATATCACCAAAAATTCTACGCCAACTTTACCTAGATATACAATTTCTTGACTATAAAACAAAAGAAAAATTGTGTGAATCTCTGATCATGTCTAAGATTACTTATTGTGATATAGTCTATGTTCCATTTTTAGACTGCACTTTTCTCATGCTGTTGACCCTCTATTTCTGTTTGCGAAAATAGGGTCTTGCATAAGGGAAGTCTAAATGGATTTTATTACAGTGTATCTTCATATAACCGCGAATGCAGAGCTTGAATACCGCTATAAAATGCGGAGTGAATACCTCAAACCCCTAGTCTGACTATACTACTCGTAATTATTGTAAAAGTAGGTCTTGAGTAAGGCAGGAAATATTCAATGGAGGAGAATGGAAGCGACTCAGAAAGAAAATGTATAGTTATTAGGCGGTTCATTTTCTAGATATCGACTGAGTAGCCACCTTGTATACATCAAAGATCGATATATTTCAAAGCATTCCAGGGTCCTTTCACACCTATCTTTACTCACTTGCAATTTCAAGGTATTAGCAAATTCATCTATGCACATAAAATCAATTCCATGATATATTCCTGATTCTAGTTTTTATTGCGGTACATAATTTTCTCCTAGTTTTATCAAGGATTACGACATTTTTTTGCATAGCTACTTAATTTCATAAGTGTACAAGATATAAATCAGTTGAGAAGAACGGTAATATTGCTGTATGTATACAAATCGATTGTTTAAGCCTAGTTGATAGTACATAGTTTCGGTAAAAGTGGATATTAAATACATTTTAAATAAACATCACATGTAGTGTGAATTAAGCAAATATTCAACTTTCCTCCAGTGCAGTTTCACTTTTTTCAGCAGTGAATGTATTATAGTGGAGGCATAGCCACCCAACTGGGTCTAAGCTACAGCGTTTTGAAGGTTCATTTTTGCGATAAAAGCTATAGCTGTGTATAGGTTTATGTTGGTACAGAATAAGCTAACGTTCGTTCCACTTCTAGGACATACAAAGTTATTGGTCAATAAATTTTATCTGTTAGGGTTACCGGCAGAGATATTACGTAAAAACCTAAAAAACGTAAAAAAACCGAAAAAACGTCAACTTGCTGCCTAAATAGTTCCTAGTGTGCAAATATAGTACATTCCGCGTTTGCTCGCTGAGCGATATAAGCGTCCATATACCGAGGAATGACTCAACGACTCGACACGCACAATGACCATGCTGCAAGGTGCAAGTAAGTTCTCCATCATGCTATGTTGATTGCAGAATGCCGAGATAGTCTGTAGAGTATACTCTGAGAAGATGTGTGGTTGAGTAATAAGATCATATCTAGATGATTGTGTGTATTGGTCTGCATGTGTATAATATCAGTGATATTTGCCATGTGTGAAAATTAGAATATGCTGACCATGAAATATGTACCTATATCTATTAGCTGTGCCAGACGGGTTATTTGTGTTGTACTTTTTGAAGAGAAGTTATGTTTAAAGCAATACATTACGATTTCGTTACTTGTTCAAAAACTTTGAGAAGAATTACTGGAAATCAGCAATGCACCCGAGTTATGCGTAATTAAGCCACACCACAGAAGAATTAGAAATGAAGCATAACACACAAAACCTTTTCGCACTGCTTCATATCTAGGCACTGATATGTATTTTCTACTTGATGCCGTAAAATACATTTTTATAAAATTTAAATGACTGGAAGTAGAAATTAATGTGAAATGTAATAATTTTTTTACGTCTCATAAATATTCCTGTATGTACCATATTTTCTCACCTGTTAGTTTTAATATACGTCACCAACCAAGGATTTTCTTTCCTTACCGCTCCCTATTCGAAATTCAGCAAATTTACATATGTAATTTCCAGGTTGAATAAGAAGAAGAGAATGCGCAACTAATTTTTAGCTTTGCATACATCTCAAGTAAGTGTATCTGAGACAAGAAACCAATGTAATTATAATCAATACAGATTATTAGCACACAAATCATCGCTATGCACTGCTGTTTCCTTCCAGCTATAGCATACAACTTACTGCTTTGACCTCCAATAATGCCATCTCTGAAGCAGATGTTATATCACATTAAAGCCAAACATTGATAGCTGAAGGATCATGACGGCTAGGCAACACGTACAGCTACGGAAGGGGTACATAATAAGTGTACAACAGCTTGTGTTAAGTTGACATCTTATAGAAAAACCTACATAATATCACAAAAAACCTATATAATTAAATAAAAAACATACATAATGTCACTTTTCAAGATACGTAATACCCCTGCGGAAAGATTTGCTCTATTTCAGGTTATAGCAAAAGATTTTTCTAATACCTTCGATAAACTTTATCGAATAATATATAATCTTCATCATTATTTATGACCTCTTGCCAACGTGATGACAATCTGTATACTTAATTTTTATAAAGTGCCTCGTCTCTAGAATGTTCTGCTGTCTTGAACTGCATCTTCAAATTTTAGAGAATTTCTACACGACTCCGTAGCATTCTTTTCTTGTTGAGTACGTACAAAATACAGTGTGGTTTAAATGAACCTCATCAGTATGATATGAATGGGAAACAAATGATGTGCCGACGTACGTAGCATCTCATACCTTTATAGCAAACTATCATGTAGCGACAGCGTTCCTCTCCTACGCAACATTCCGTGATGCAGACCTTGCGTCCGATTTATCTACAGCGTTGCTGAACTTGAAGGAAATTATCACATCTGCTATATCTATAGGTACCTCTGTGGAGAAGGCCATCATTGTGACATGATATACTTCTCCACCAAGGTATATAATGTACTATTACATGGTGCTTATGAACTTTCATGTTGATTTGCAGTACCGGAGTTCTTTGCCTGCAGGTAAGTAGCGAGCACTAATGAGGGTCGACATACCGTCTTCTGAGCGTAGACGTCCTCTAGGTATCCGCCAAGGTCTGTCGGTCTGTGCGTGGCAGCAATGGTATTCTTGCTGGTACGAACTTATAAGTATTTACTTTCACCGCAGCGCAGCGTGCTGGTCGCACCCAACAGTTGCCGCTTTGCCGCCTTCATTGGGATAGTCGCGGTCATAACTGACGCGGGGGTAGGCAGGATACATTGGAATTGA